CCCCCCACAAAACTGTTCTTTCCCATCCTTCTCCATATCTAATTCCTGGTGGTTATTATTTTTAAGTCATCAATGTAGCCAATCCTAAGTATGTAAATGTTAACCTATGGGTTGGAACCTTTGTCTCTTGCAATTTCAAGGTAATGGATATTGTAGCCCATCTGAACTTCCCCCACTTTTAATCTCGTAACTTTTGGAGTTTCTTCAGAATGTGGTGTATTTTATTGTGCTCCTATGTAAGATGAAGAATTATCTATTAAAATTACATTTTCAACATACAAAAGTTTTTGATGACTGGTAACTGGTATCCTACAAAAAATAAATGCATTGCTTGGAAACAAATATAAGTTTAATTCAGAATAAAATTATTCATAACCCTAATATTGTAAATTTAAAAACTAACAGCAGTTGTCATTTATAACAATTCTTAGGCTGTTTAGAGGTGTGTTAGAACTAAGGAAATCTTATTCTGGGGCCAAAATGAATGAACATTCAAGCAATTAAATAGAGATCAGTTTTATTTGTTGCAGGTGGCACTGCTCATGATGATAACTAGTCTCATCTCACATAGTGATTTATAGTTATAAAATTACATATTTAAATCTTTTGCATTATAAAAACCTGTCTAAAATAGGACTGATGTCTACTAAATTTGTGATAGAACTGAAATGGAATAATTCAGTTTTTGTTTCAAATATATAAATTCCTAATTTTACAGCATCATGTTTTTTTCCTTTGTAATTTTGATGAGTCTGCATTGTTTGGTAAAATCTCCTTTCTCAACCATTGGATTGAAATGAGCCAGTGTGTTCACTGAGCTTTCGTAGGATTTAAGGGGTTCTGGGAGAGGCCAAGGGAGAGTTCGCAGCTGTCTGGCTTTTGGGCCTATTTTTCTTGGCCCACACAGTGTAGTTGGTTAAACATTTTGAATTCAGTGCCAACATTTTTAAAAATTGGGAAGATTTACATGAAAATCCAGAATTTTGGTAACTTGATCTACCTGGCAACAGAGGACATGACCTGCCTTTGCTTGTCATCTGCTGGGAGGAGCTGAGTGGCAACCTCCTAACTAGGGCTTGTCCTTCTCTTACCCAGTGGCTCTGCAGTTGGCTAGAGTCTCCCCTGCCCCACAGCCCACCTGCTCCTTTATATAGTCCTGTTTCCTGGTGAACCTTTGACTTTGTGAGTAACTCCTAAGCTTAAGAAAACAGTCCATTTATTTGACAAAAGTTTAGTATGTGCTTAAGACCGTACTACTAGTTGGGGATGATTAGATGAATAAGATTGACTTAGGGCTTTCTTTCCCTCTGGGACTTTCTGATCTAATGAGGGAAGGACATGGATAAACAGTAGTAGTAATACGGAGAAGGGAAGGAAGTGTTTGGGAGGGTTGCTCTTCTGAATTCCAGCCCGATGAACACCTCCAACCTAGGGGAACAGCATGTGCAAAAGCCCTGGGAACAAGGAGGAGAATGCAGATATTGATAAGTGGCTTCTTGAGAGTTAACTCTGCCCAAACCCTGAGGTGTTGATCTAGGAGCTTTGTGTTACTTGATTTTTAAGTTTTGTAGTCTGCTGTGATTTGCTTCCACAGTAGTTCTCTCAGAGGCAGCCTAATAAGGTCTTTATCTGAAGTTTGTAGAACTTAAACCATGCTCTAGATCAAGAACAGACTTTAATGCAAAAATTTAGAAGCATTTAAAAATAAGGTTAAATACAAATCAATACAAAAACCACAGGTGCTATGGTTTAGCACTAAGGAGAGTAGGGGGAAGGAAACCTGCTATTCAAGATATTGAAAACACAATTTTAGCTAAATGGAACTAAATGGTGTCATGGGAATGATAGGGATTGGCTTTTTCAATTTGATGGCCCAGGAATCTTTTGGCTGCTCTAGTCACACTCATTTTTGTTGCAGTAGCAGAAAGTTTAAAAATACAGCCTTTTCTGGAAAAACTGCCCCCCCCCCCATGCCATGATTCATAGAGCAGCTAATTCATCAGTCTATTTAAGAAAATGTAATAATTCATTGAAATAATGTATTTTGGGACCTGGGGCAACATTTCATTTAGCTATTTGGCATGCTGCTTAGTTCAAGGAATTAGATCGAGTTTATTTTTTAAAAGGTTTGATCACAAAAGCAAAACATGTTGAATGTTATACCTTGAAAGAAATACAAAGAATAGAAACCTGTAATCTACCACCAAGACTGGTGATATATCTCCTGCATTAATTTCCATTTTATCAGTGAGGTGGTAATTTGGGAGGGTTGGTTCCGAGTTCACTTCACGGCAAATGTTACAAATTGGGTAAGTTCCCATTGGCTGCAAAACTGGGAAGTGGACTAAAGTGTTTCCTGTTAAGTGCAGAGCTCAACAGAAAGAGTTTGGGTCCTCCCTCTCCCCCAATTTCACCTTGGCCACCCTTCAGCTGATCTCATTTCATGGGGACCTGAGACACATCGAGTGTGTGAATGTAGACTTGCTACCAAGCAGAGCTCTACTGACTTGATGTAATTCTTCCTGTTCCTGGTTGTAGAAACATAGTAATTGACTGAACCTTCAGACCTTGCTTATTGTCTCCAGTTAGCATAGCAACCGAAATCCCATTGTCTTGTAAAAGTACATTTTATAGTAGTCATTAAGGAGCTTTTCCTTTGCTAATCCTTTGTATCTATGGGACAAAACATGTTTTAAAAATTAGAAGATTGATAACCTCGTGTTCCTACCATGTAGACTAAGTAGTATATTTACTTTTTACACACTCCTAATCCATTATCACCGACCACGATTCCTTTTGAAGTTACATGATCCCAGTAACTTCAATGTCATCATAACCTACAAAATATGCCGGTTTATGTTCAATAAGACTACTTAAGACTTAGACCAGTCAAAAACAGCTTAGACACAGGTTGGTTGCACTAGATTTGAACTTGTGTTGTTTTCCTTCAGTTTTGGCAGGAAACAGCTGGGTAACCAAGAGCCACCTTCTAATCCGATTTTCCCTTCTAAAACTAAGTATTTGGGGCGTTGCAGTCCATGGATCTGTCTCCAGTAAATTATTCAGCTCTGCCATTGTAGAGAGAAAGCATCCATAGACAATTTTAAACGAAGAGGCTTCTGTGCTCTAATGAAACTAATTTTCATGGCACAAAGTATTTTTTAAATCACTGTTAAAAACACTCTAAGCTGCTGGGTTGCACAAACAGGTTGGAGCTAGGTTTGGCCTGTAGGTTCAGCTTCCTTTCCTTTCCCCTTGGCAGTGATTGACAGTTCACTGTAGTGTCAGAAGCAAATGTGTCAATACTTCTCCTTTTAAAAAGTAACACATTTTTAATCCAGTAACAAGAGGAAACATTTGTACAGGTTTCTTCTTTCCCCTTTGATGTTAATGTATATGTATGTATGTATGTATATATATGTATATATATAGATAAGTTATGTAGAGATTGAGCATTTACCAAGCCCATTTTTTCATGTAAGATTATTGAACATTCATTCTCACATTGAAAGTTTCTCTGAATGTTTAATTTTAAAATTAAAATTATACAGTTTAAAAGAAAATCTGAAATATGTACAGGCTCCTTTTTAAAAAGTAAGCTTTAACAGGTAATGCTGTGGTGGAGGTGTTTAAAATCAGTTACTAAAAGGACCTCCACCTGTGGCAGTGTAATCCTTTGGTATATCTATTGACTAGATGACCGTAACTTAAACTTCACCCCATTTGTAATTCAAATGGATGCGTTTTAGAAATCCTGCAGCATACCTTTGACCACATCTTGTGCAACTTGAAGTATCTCCCAGAAATGGAATTGTTGGGTGAAAGGGTTATATTTTATGTCTATAATAGCTGTATGGACATATTATTGGTAAACCATTAACACTTTAGGCCCGGGCATTTTTTTGTGTGCCTTATCTTAGTACATAAATCTTTGTCCACATTCCTGGAGATTCCTACTGTAGTTACTTCATCAAAGGGTATGTTTAAGCCTGGCCAGCGTGGCTCAGTGATTGAGCATCAGCCCATGAACCTGGAGGTCACGGTTCGATTTCCAGTTGAGGCACAGGCCCAGTATGGGGCATGCAGGAGGCAGCCAATCAATTATTCTCATTGATGTTCCTCTCCCTTCCTCTCTGAAATCAATACTTTTTTTTTTTAAAGGGATGTTTAAGTTTCTTGATACACATTGATAGGCAAATATTTTTATTTCACTAACTTGAATGAGTAAAAGTTGAGAAAATTAGGAAGACTTACAATACTTTTATACGTGCCTGGCACAGGAAATGTGTGTTGAGAGGGTAATAACCCACATATTGGGAAGAGTAACTTTTGGGATCGTGATTAGTTGAAATTACATCAGATAGAGGAATTTAAGACTAGTTTCTGGCAAGAAGACATGGAGCCTTTGAGTAAATTTGGGGCTTTGCTATGATAGGCCTTAAGGGCCTTCTCATCTTACTCCTAGAACTTGGCCAATGGCACTAGTTAGGAAGGTATTGAAAGAGAAAGGTAGCAACAGGAATGAAATCTTTCCAACCGGATTTTTGCTCTACAGCTCCATATAAAATGTTGCTAAGTATTTGGTGAGGGGTCCTATTTTTAAAATTTTGCTTTTGAAAGATGGTGTAAGTCTAAAAAACCTTGAAAGACATTTTAGGAACTTCTGATGTATAAACAAACACCTAGCTAAATATTTACTCCACTAAATATAAGTTCCTTGGGGGCAGAAACTTGTTCTGTGCTATATCATCAATGCCAAGCATAAAACATGCCGATTATTTGATAAACACTGTATTAAGAATTTATGAAAGTGTTGGTTGGAAACTTTGAGACAAAATCAACTACACAGAAACAATCCAGCTATAACCAATTCGTTAAAAGTTGTATTTCAGTAAACTATTTAGTCCTGTCACTTGCTCTACAAAATTTTGCTTAGACTTTTATTCTTGTATTTCAATGTAAAAATACTGTAAAATGCTTTCTCTTTTCCTACAATTTAAATGAGATTTGAGTAGAACTTTCATGTAAGGATTCTAAAGTTGGTCTTGGGTCAACAATATTTGGGGGAAATATCGCGGCAGGCAGAGTACCTGTAGCCAGTTACCCTGCAGTTTAAACAGAGCTGCAATAATTAAAGTGATGGTACTGTGTAGAAAGCATCTGTAACACCTTACAGGAAAATTGAGAATAAGAGCTCTCAAAAATTGTAACAGAACCCCATTAGGGTGGGATAGGGGCACAGCAGTGCACCTTTAGACCGCTGCCTTAAGATGGGAGTCGTCATTGACCGGCTGCCTCCTGCACGCCCCCTACTCGGGATCGAGTCCAAAACCCAGGCATGTGCCCTGCCCGGGAATCGAACTGCTGTCTCCTGGATCATAGGTAACAGTGCTCAACTGCTGAGCCATGCCAGCCGGGCACCAGTTCCTTTTTATAACCCAGTTAATTCCGCTAGTAACAATCGTAAGTGTATAAAGGTACTGCTACTGAGATAACATATGACCATCATTGGGAGTGAAGAGTAAGGTGTGGAATGCCAGACTTTTCACTTGGATGGTCTTACATTTAAAAAAAGAAAGAAAATTTATTTCCATTTTTATTTGATGTTTCCAAATATAAAAAAAGTCAAGATTCTTACACCAATTATCTCAATGAGACCATGCAAAGCAATTCAAGTGTATACAACAATCACACACACACCCTTGCTTCAGTTTTGCTGCTTTATACAACTGTGTGATCAACATTGGAAAACTGAATGGCATGTGTCTGGTTGGAAAATTACACCTGTTTACAAAAAAACAACCCAACAACATGCAGGATAGTTGCTACTTTGTGTCTGCAAGTCAATTTACAAACTTATTTGATTCAGGAGGCACATGGGACTGAAAATTTTAGCTGTCCAGTTTTATCCAACTACCCCACAGAAAGCACAAATGACAGTCCCAACACTAATCTTTGGAGGGTTGAGATAGACACTTTTTGATATCTATAGTAGATTCAACTATTGAGCCTGAAAATGTAGGCTTTTCCTCTGAACAGAAATAAATCCTTGGGGCCCCTTCCTCTAATTTTGTTACACTGGGTTCCACCAGAATAGTGGAGCATCCCTTGTTTGAAATTTAGTGTGACGACTGTAAATATGTTGCATTATACAAATTCTTGCTAGTTGCATAGACTAAAGACAGTTTGCTAAATGGCACTGAAAAAATCCTGACTTAAGTGGCACTACTTCATCCAAATATTTCTGACCAAAGAATATTATACAACAATATTTATAGGCTCACTTTGAAGAGATGGCTGACATTAATACTGTACATATTTTACAGATCAAATACATAGTCTAAGAGTTTATAAAATAAGTTCATGCATTGTTAACTCTAAGAATGTCATGTACAAGATACCCCCCCCAAGTACTGTGACAGCATTTCAGGTGGACACAGTCCTATATACAAAAACAATCCAGTTTCTCTGCTGTGTTAGTATGTAATTTAAAGAAACTTCAGAGATTACTGAGAATAAAAACCAGTCCATTGAAGATTGATAGAAAGTGTCAATCTGTGGGATTTAAAATGTGGTTTTTCTTAAACACCCAGAATATATAACCTCTGTACAAAGAAAAATATAAAAATTCTGGATGATCGTGTTTGATCACACTACATAATTTAGAATGAAATGTCATTGGTTAAATTACTCATTCCATTGACAGCATTAATTTGTGAACTAATGTTTACATCTAGTTCAGCTGCATTTATGGCACAAGATCTCATATTTTTTAAGTGGCACCAATTTTCCTCAAGTGTAACAGCACTCTATTTTTAGCAGCAATTATATTTTTAAAGGTTAACAATTTGTAGAACAAATGTGCAACTATACTTATTTTCTACTTTTTACTCACCAGTTACAATATTTACAAAAGACTAATGTCTACATAAAGAATGATCTTGCCCTCATGCCCCACCCCACATCTTATTCAAAGGTTTTCCTTCTCATCTCATTTCTGGCCTATTTGGGGGAAGTACAGGAGTTTCAGACAAGGTACCTATGTATTTTAGAGAGGGTTCTTGATTTCATATGTATAAAGACCAGTATAAGACAAAATAATTCTTAGTTCAGGTATGTTCCAGTGCCCCAAAAGTTATATGATAAATAGTACCTATTGACACCCTATAAAAGATGAGACATCCTAAAGGTACCCTAACAATCTAAGTCTGTAACAGCTGATCAGCAAGAAGGCCATTTTAATTGTGAAGCAGTCATCACTGACTGGTGTTTGAGGTTATAGACGCTACACCTAGATGTGGTTATTGGTAACCAACAAGTTTAACTGAACAGGTGCCACTAAATTCAAAAACTGAAAAAATATTTTTAAAAAGCAACTTACATTGAGGGAAATTTGGTTCTCAGGTATTCGGTGTAAAGAGAGTATATAGATAAAGGGGATTGGCAACTGTGCTTGCTAAAATTCCATGAATCCAGATTTCATGATAAGTATTTGCTACATGCATTTTGCTTACAATCCCTCCCTAAACATTGCCAATTCTAGAGTTAAAATTTTGTGTTAAAGAGCTATTGAGGAATAGGGGAATTATGCTAGTGACATAATACCCGTTGTGAAAATTGAGACGGGTTGACAAATGCCTGAAAATAGCAAAATAGGTCCTTTGTCAAAATATTGGGCCATACAGAAATAGTCGAAATATGGAATTTATGAATTAAGATTGTTATCCTATGAACAAGTTTTTCTTTAACGTCAAGAATTACTTTTGCTAATTCCTGTAACAGAAGGATTTTTTGAATATATTAATGCTGTGAATGAGAAAACAATTTGGGGGGGGTAAAACATAACCTCAAGTAAGGTGATCTGACAGAAACCACAGACTGGTATCAAATGGACGAAAAACTGAAAAAATGACAAAATAACAAGGAGGGCAGGATGGGGGGCACAGTTAAGGCATCTAAAAAAAATTCCACATGGCTTTGGCTTATTAAAGTATTTTACACTATAAAAAAAAAGATTTGAAAGCATCTGGAAAACATGCAAATTGTTTGAAAACCTTGCATGGCAAATTCAGACAGTTTGCAAGCGTCATTCAGATGTTTGCCAAAGAAAAGAAAGAAGCCTCTCCCCACGAGACTGCGCATGGTGGGAGATGACCTCCCCATTCTCTCTATCTTCTAGTAGATGGCAAGCCGGAGGTTTGTGCAGCAGTTACAAACAAGGTGTTGTTATCAGGAAGAGAAGGTACTGTGGAATTTCCATTGGACGAAGAACAACCCAGCTTTAGTTTTTCCAGATACTCTGCATGTACAGGCTTATGACACTGGAGAACTTTGATGGCATCTTCTACTTTGAACCACTCTCTCTTCCTTCCTAGAAAACAGTAATGACACTGGTCACTATACAATAAAGTCAAGTTTAAAAACACTGTTAACAATGCTCCTCACACTCTTCCCTCACAAATGACTGTTTTTGGAATAGCTTAGATAACAATATGTTGAAGAATTTAAAAATAATTTGAATGTGGAGATGTATATTGATCTTCCTGTCTCTAAAAGGAAGGTCACCAGAAAACTGGATACAAGTATGCAGTATCTGAATTAAGAGAATTCTGACAGCAAAAAGAAACTTACCTATATTAACAGAATCCTCCCAATCTTCTAATATTTCAGTGACAGTAAGAACATAAACATATGTTCTGTGCTTTCGGTCTTGGTTCTGCTTGAATATAAAAAGAAAAGCATTTTAACCTAGAGGAGCTACTTGTGTACGTATTAAGGGAAAAAATTCAGCTGTGGCCTATTACTGATTAGCACAGCCTATTTACCAACGTGGCCAAGTATGCTCAATTGTATAATCCAGCACAGAAGTGAGTTTATGTAAGACAAAATATTTAAAATGGTGAAATTAGCTCCCAATACTAAACTTTTAGCACTGATTTCTGTCCATCAGATAAGTAATTAAGACTGGAATGGAATCTATATTAAAAGAACTGCATTCCTGTCATTTTTAAGGTCCTATTCCCTGGAGCTAATCCCGATAGCCTTTCAACACCATGGAAAACTGCTTCCCTGAGGACCTGTAGAGAGCATCCACAGTTAGTTTCAGAACATTCCCCTTAGAGGATTATAAGACACACAGTGCAGCCCTACTAACCTAGACTAGGACTTCTCAACCTTCGCTGCCGATTACATCACCCAGGGCGAATGTTTTTTTGAGACACCAGTTAGTTTGAGATGAGGCCTAAGTATTGATATTTAATTAATTTTTTAAAATGTTTTTATTGATTTCAGAAAGAGGGAGAAACATCAATGATGAGAGAAAGTCATTGATCAGCTGCCTCCTGCATGCCCCCTACTGGGGATTGACCCCAAAACCTGGGCATGTGCCCTGACTGGGAATCAGTTACCTCCTGGTTCACAGGTGGGCGCTCAATCACTGAGCCGTGCCAGCTGGGCCTAAGTATTGATATTATTTTTTTATCTTTATTGTTGCAAATATTACAGATGTCCCCTTTTCCCCCTCATTGATCCCCTCCACACCACATACACTCCCACCCCCAGGCCTTCTCCATACCAATGTCTATGTCAATGGGTGATGCTTATAAACATACAAATTCTCTGATTAATCTCTCCCCACCTACTCCCCCGTTCCCACTGAGAACCCTCAGTCTGTCCCATGCTTCTATGTCTCTGGATCTATTTTGTTCATCAGTTTATTATATTCCACATGAGAGAGATCATGTCGTATTTGTCTATCTGGCTTATTTCACTTAGCATAATACTCTCCAGTTCCCTCCATGCTCTCCCAAAGGGTAAGAGATCCTTTTTTATAGCTGCATAGTATTCCATGGTGTAAATGTCCCCACAGTTTTTATCCATTCATCTACTGATGGATACTTGGGCTGTTTCCAGATCTTAGCTATTGGAAATAACACTGCTATAGACAAAGGGGTGCATATATTCTTTCTGAATGGTGTTTTGTGATTCTTAGGATATATTCCTAGAAGTGGAATAACTGGGTCAAATGGCAGTTCAGTATTTAATGTTTTCAGGAAACTCCATACTGCTTTCCATAGTCGTTGCACCAAGTATTGATATTTTAAAAGCTTCCAGATGAACTATACGCAGCCAAGGTTGAGAATACCTGGTTCTTCCAATTGTGGAACATTATCTTTAGTCCTACATTCTAACTCAACTTTACCCATATTAAAACTGCCATCTATTCTCGTGTCTCGGTTCAAAACTAAACACAAGGTGGCCTTAAGACAAAGGGACTCACCTTCAACTCAATTAAAGTTAGCCTTGTTTGGTGTAGTCTAAGACTACAGATAATTGCCCTAATTTTTTCTACCACAAATAACGTGAGTAATCCACTCACTGGAACAGTGATTTTGTCTGTAGGAAGGAGTAAGAATAGTAAAGTAGAGGCATCTCTCACTTAAACATTATTGTTCCTTATTTGTAAGAACTCATTATCTCCAGGCCTAACAAATGAATATCTTTATATGCTATTATGCTCACGAATGCACTGAAATCACCAGGATGAATGAGTAGGGCAACTCTAATTTTCTTTTATATTTTCTAAGGGGGAAGTTACATTGATTACCATTTTCTGTTCAAATTCTATAAAGTTTAAATTGTACTCTATAAAAATTAAATAGTAAAAGCATTTAATACTATTATCTTCCCATGTTATATAAACTTTATTTAAAATGTGAGGAGTTTTCTTGAAAAATCTTGTCCACGTACTGACAAATGTGTTATTTACACCATGGCTTCTCAGAATTGCAGGAAATTCTCAATGTTTTTTAGCTTAACCAGGAGATGGTGCTGTTTAACTGGGTAAAGTGAGTGCTGAATTCTGGGAAAGTTTGAATACTATATTAAGAACTTTACTCTTAATAATTACTGTATTCTGGGAATCAATTCTATCAAGTGCTGCATAATCAGAACTTTTTCTCAATTCCTGTAAAAAGGCTTAAAAACAAAATTTATATGGTTCTATCAGAAGGACTGAGCTAACCCTTAAATAGTGTCTTGAAAACAGTCATACTGTATCTGGTATACTATGTATCTAAGGGCCTGAATCTATTTGAGAATAGCTTGGGCCTCATGATTTGACCTCATTTCTCCCTATCTTCCACAGACTACCTACCACTTCCAAATTTCCTCCCCACAAATTCCATTCTGCATTCAGTGATGAGAATTCTATGCTTTTAGCATCTATTCTATGTATCTGAGCTTTGTATCCTCACACAGCCCTTTAAGGATAGTCATTATGTATATCATCTAGGGTACATTTCCAGACAGTATCCACAAGAGACTTAGGCCCTTAGGTGATACTGAGGATACTGTACCTCCTAAAAAGTCTATACCTAAACAGCATTCAGTGAATCAAGAGAGAAGTCTATCTCCATCAACTTCACCGTATTGTCATATAGAAGTAATTACTACTGTAACAATGCTTGTATATAACTGACAGTACAGCAAAATTAAGTGGTTTTTACTTCCCTCCCTCCTAATTCTTATGGCTTACTTGCCTAGTGATAGTTTTAGAGGAATGTCTACTTTAGTTTAGGCTGCTGCCAGATTATCTGGCTCATTAGGAAGGAATGATTAATTCTCTTATCAGCAAACCAAGGATTACTTTTCTTGAGAGAAAGACATACAGACAGACACAGAAACAGCTATGTGAGAAACACTGATTGGTTGCTTCCCACATGTGGCCCAACCAGGGATCAAACCCGCCACGGTGCAAAGGACTACACTCCAACCGAGCCACACTGGTCAGGGCCCAAGGATTACTTTTGTAACTCACCTCAAATATGCCCAGGAGTCTGCCTAATTTTCCTTTGACTCCAGCCTATTAAAAAAAGATGAAATGTAAAAATTTTACCCTTTCATAACAAAATTGATATGAAAATTACTTTCTGGCTACTTCAACTTTTAAACCTGAACACAATAGGTCCTCCCATACTAAGTCTGTTTCTGTGACTTTTGGGGGGGGGG